AAAGCTTGATTTTATGGAAAATATCAAGTTAAAGAATATGCATATATTTATTTGTTACTCACTCTGACATGGCCCGTATTAAGAGTTTCAATATCATAGTTTGAATGAATTCCCTTATCTTTTAAAAGTTCCCAGGCATTAACGTCTAATATTATATCTCCAGCCTTGCAAAGATCTTGAGTCTTCTGTAATGAAACAATAGTGGGCCCAACAAGTGAGTACAGTAGAAAAGAGTCTGGAACTCCATAACAAAGCATCTTTAAGTGGCCAACTGCAATAGCTACAAAAAAAAAAGAAGAAGCTGGGCTGTTTTCAGATGAAGATCTATAAACATCGGTTTCAAATGAGATGAGTTATCTTGTGAAAGAGATACCAAGTTTAAATACTTTTAAACTGTCATCACTAAAAATAATCCATAACAAAAACAAGACATTATATATTTTCTTTTTGCACTCTACAGTGCCGTGGCATGTGAATTTCATCATCTCTGAAACCAGTGATCAAAGTGTTCAGAGTACTTGCAATACTTCCCTACCCATGACAACTGTATTGAACATGAACCCCTTAACCCATGGAAAAGGCAAAATTACTTAGTTTTGTGCATGTGTTGCATTGTCAACTCTATGGCAAGACTGCTAATTTCATTATGTCAAAGCACCGTAATGTATTTTAGAGGAACTTCCTATTTCTGAAATTTACCCCATATTGCCTTTTTTGGTAGGTTTCCTATTCTTTTTTTTAAACCTTTTCACAATTTTAATACTATCACGATAAGTAAGTATGAACATATAGCTAGAAAAATATCATCAAAACCACAGCTATTCAAAAATATATAAATTAATTCTTTTTATGAACAGACATAAACTTTACATAAAAATTATAGCCTCAACAAGATTCAAGTGCACACAAGAGAAGTTAACATAACTCAAAACATGGACAACAAGAACCCTTCACTATTGGAATTATACAAGAAGGCTTTTTAGGCTGAACATTATTTTACTGAACATGTAATCCCAAGAATAGTGTTTCATGAAATGTTTATACATAATTAGTGTAGAGGTTTGTGTACTATTCTAGTTCTACTAGAACTACAGTGTTTCTACTTTTTTATGAATGTTTCTAATTTATCCTCTTAATCTATAATATTGTAACAGGGAATGCATGTAAGCTAACACCATAAATTCCTTCTCTTTAACAAACTTAGGTAGTGTTGTTTTGTGTAGAAACCAGGATTTCAAGTAGGATGGACATATAGTAGACTTATGTCAGTTTGGAATTGTACTTTTACACGGTTAACACCAATTCTGTGACAGTTTGAATTGTACTTTTACACGGTTAACACCAATTCTGTGACAGTTTGGAATTGTACTTTTACACGGTTAACACCAATTCTGTGACAGTTTGGAATTGTACTTTT